TAAACCCTAAACCTAAGATAAGAGTCCAATCTAAGTCTTTAGTGGCAACTCAGAATTTCAGAAGCTCAGGACGCGACAGCTTCTGAGCACTCTTGGCACAACTTCTTTGCCGACTCCATGGGCAACTTGCTGTGCTCTGGGGTGACACACAAATCCTTCTCGAGAAGTGTGCGTAGCAGATCCTGCAAATTCTTGGCCAATTTCTTTCCACTGTCGGAATTACTGCCCATGACCGGCGCCCGAAGGACAGTCACCATGGCATAAATGGTCAGATGAGTCACAAGGCAATTTCCGAGGCCTTGTGCGTTCATGGCCATGGAATGCCATTGTGTCAGATTTTCTGCCAGGCCAGAGGCCGCACCAACACCAGTCGCTGAGCTGGAACGAACCTTTTGCAGAACCTCCTGAGCTTTCAAGACTTCTTGAGAAGCTTTCCGCAAGTGGCTGCCAGAAGATCCAAACGCCTCATGGAGCATGGCCATTGCCTTCCTATATTCCTCCTCCGTTGCGGTAGCGAAGTTGGGAATCTTAAAGAGCAGCGCATCTCCTCTAGCTTGCAACTTCTTGAGCTGCTCTTGCTGCTCATGTCCTTTCTGCATGATTCTCTCGGTGATCTTCTCTCCGATCCCAAACACCCAAGACTCGAACTCAGGAGATGCCAGCTTTGTGGCCGCCAGCTTGCCAAGTGGATCTGATTCCCACTCTTTCTGGTATCGCTGCGCTGCAGATTGCACATTGGACAAGCATGTGCTTTGAGACTCTAAAGCAGTCAGAAGATCTCCCAAGGTGGCTTCCTTTTTCACTGCCGTCACAGTCTCGGATGCAACCTGCCACATATAATCTGAGCATACCAGTTATTCTATTTTATTATTTTATTTTGGATTCAGATTCAGGACTTCGAGACTACAGAAGAAGAATAAGCAACAAAACGACTTATAACTTACCTAAAACTTAAATATAGTAAATACTTAATAAATAATAACTCTAAATAATTTTAATTTTAAATAACCAAAACTACCACTGCAATCAACTCCCAGCCTTGATGAAGGAGGGCAGCACGAGATTCCACAACCCATTCTTTCCAAGTGCTGCATTATTTTTGACCTCGGCCAATTGTCCTGCGATAGTATCCAGGTCCGAGACCGCAGACATGCAGTTCGAAATCATTCGACCAACATCCTGGAATGCAGTCATGGCCCTGTCATCGAGGTCTTTCACAGCGACTTTGACAAAAGTCTCTTTGAATCCTTCAAGAATAGCCCCTTCTTCTACAAACGCACAGACAAGCACATCGCACGCGGTCCATTCATGCAGGAGATCAGATGTCGGATCCTTGACACGAGTAGTCCCTATCTTGTTCTTGGCGAAGACATACCGGGTAAGTGCCTGGACGGTGTCACAAGCCTTGCCATAAGAATCGAAAAGCTGGGTCAAGGACTGGGGCAACTTCTTCAAGCCAACATCTTTGGTCCAGAACTCATGATGTATGACTTCCGAGCACGC